GTAATGAAAGCATAGTGATAGTTACTGAAAACCAACACAAATCAGTTATTAATATTTTAACAACTTCCCTGTCCGCGAAATAGACACAATAGTTAAACAATCGAAATGTTCATATATGACTCATGGGACAGTGAAATGGTTAAAACGATTTATTGGTACAGACAACGTTTTCTCTAAATTGGAGACTGAGCATAAAATAAGCTTAATAAGATACATAATTGAAAAATATTTATCAATTCGTTTCCACCATATTTCTAAATTGGAAACAATTTCCAAAACGGTGGACAGTAAACGGCAATATTTAAAAAAATTTACTCAACAAAAAGGTTATTAAAATAAAAACAATGTTTCTTTCATATTACTATTGTTTTATTTTTCCCCTTCCTGGTCGAAATAAACATACTTACATACATAATAAATAAATTATTATGTATGTAAGTATGTTTACTTTGCAACCTTCCGCTAATTAATTAGTTAGCGGAAGGTTGCAAAGTAACGCCTGATTCTATCAATTATACTTTCATACTACTTCTTAAAGTGAGGTAAACAATTGAAAAAATTGCCAACTTATCTTTTTTAGTTATCCATTCATCCTGATATACTTAGACAATAATATATTAGGGTAATAAATTTTTACTGCACGGCAACACTCGCTTGCAGCACACATGTTTACCAAACCGACCTCACTTCTTTGTTGACAGCGCTCTGTCTTGAGTTTTTATTTCGTCTGAGGTCAACGCCTACTCTGCTTAGCGTTTGACCCTGTGCCTTATTTATCGTCATTGCAAAGCAAACACTCACCGGCAGTTGGACCCGTTTAAAACGAAACGGAAAGTTATTCGGAATAATCGGTATTCGTGGAATAAAAACTTTCTCACCCGCACCGCAACCGGTAAGTATCTCTGCCTCAACCACATGTCTCTGGAGAGCAACTACTTTGAGCCGAGTACCATTGCATAATTTTGGTGGACTTAAATTTCTTAAAAGAATTATGGGGATCCCTACCTTAAGTTTAATTTCATGTGCAGGGAGCCCAGACGCCGTTAATGCATTCAAAAACTCTACAGGATATGCTGTTATTTCTTCACGGTCAACTACTCTATTTATTGACGTATAGGTAACATTCTCCCCTTCAATACGTTCTAAAATGGTCATGTTGATACTTACAGCTTGATCATTACGAGGCGTAAGTATAGCGCGCTCACAAAGCCAAGAGTTTCCTTGGTTTACTATACCAGCCAGATCTTCATAAACAGATATAATAAGTTCCTCAATGTTAAGGACTGTTTTGCACAAATTATTAATTAAATCTATTCTACCATCAACCTCAGGAAACCTACCTTCACCAATACTCAATAATAACTGTGAGAAATCTTGAGCATTTGTGTTCTCGCCTCTTTGCGCTCGCATGTTTGTGGTGAGATTTAACCTTGTAATATGGGGCCAAAGAATTGAATTTTTTAAACATGCGCTAATTTCATCGGCTCTTGTCCCGCGTGTAACTATTGGCAATGTCTGCCGAAAATCTCCACAGAAGAGCATAGTGACTCCGCCCATAAGTTCATTGTTGTGTCGTATATCTTGCAGCGTTCTATTGACGGCTTCTACTGCTTTGCGATGCGCCATTGTACATTCATCCCATACAATTAAGGTGCACTCACGAAGTACTCGAGCTATGTCACTATTACGTGAAATGTCGCAAACGGGGGTTTCAGTGACGTCTAATTGTGTGGGTATTTTGAACATGGAATGTGCAGTTTTGCCTCCTGGAAGTAAGGTAGCTGCAATTCCGGACGATGCCACGGCCAATGCAATTTTTCCCTGGCTACGTATTTGCGCAAGGATAAGTTTCGTAAGAAATGTTTTACCAGTACCGCCAGGGGCATCCAAAAAAAAACATTTCACCAGAGGTGTTCAAAGCGCTGTTACATATACGATCAAAAATAATTCTTTGTTCGGGGGTCATGATAGGTACACCTACTTGAAGAATTTGGGCCAGTTCCTCTGAGTCGTAATTGGATTCCGTTGCATACTCTCGATTAGTTTGTTCGACATTTAAGATTGGTTCAGGTAATCCATAGCGTATTAAGGGATTACCACCAATTGAAAAAACTGTGTTTTGTATATCACACAAACAACGATTCAATACATCATTGAGCATCTCTTGATTTAGTTCACCATGTTCAAAATTAATGTAATCTTCAGCTAAACTTTTCTGGTGTTTAACCCAAAGTTGATTAGCATCTGAAAGGCCACAAAATACTAACAACACCGCAAATAAATTCCGTAAACGACGCGGGCTATCACTAACAGATGCTTCAGCGAGGGTGTTGTCCCAGTGCTGGTCGTCGTCCAATAACCCTCGAGCCCGGCAAGCAGCTTGAAAAGAAGGATATTGAGTGTTGTTGAACATTTTCAAAGCCAAAAATGATGTGGGTCCTCGTACTGTATGCAAAAGTAAACGTACGTAAAAACATTCGGAGTTATTGGGATGTACAGTGTACACTCTGCCGAGCACATGTTCTTTAAAAAGGTTGGGAAAACCTTCAACAGGAATACCACGTCGGCGACGATTAAAAATCCTGTGTTGCTTATCGTATGTATAATACGCTGGAACTTCGTCATAAAGCAAAGTTCTTGCGAAATCGTCAGATTCGCATAATCGAAAGAACGCCAGTAAAGTTGTTTGTCTAGGATTTTCTAGTTGCTCCACAATATTGTCTGGGTGAAAATATACGCGTTGTCCGCCTTCCACGTGAACGTCTAAATGCATTACCGGGGGGATTACGCTCGCTTATTGGGAAACTGAATATTCGCCATGCTGCCTCCGAAGAACTTATGTATCGCCCTGATTGAAATCTTGTAATTTCGTCAAATCTGTCGTTGCTCATTGCAAGTGTTGCTTGATCCGTCCCTTTATTTACATACTTAAAAATGTATTTAATTGATTCAACACTGTTACACATTTCTACGTTTATATGGGTTGGAAAGTTCTCGATAGCACAGGTGAGTACGGCACTACCCACCTGTTATCTACTTCTACATCTTGTCCAAACATTCTCAATTTTGTGGTGAATCCTCCATACTGTGGAGCACGCCGCCGATATTTGGGATAACCATCTTCACCAGTGATTGTTTCTCTTAAAAGGGGTCTTGGATATTTTTTCGTACATTGTCCATCCTTCATGCACGGAGAATTATTATTTAATGCACCGCAAGGCCCGTGTATCATCTGTGTTTTAACAATTTGGTGTAAAATAGGATCATTTGTGGGATTTGGTAATTCTGCACTTATTATATTATCAACGTATTAGGACGAATTTTTTTGTAATAACCATAGAAGAATGTGAGCGTGGGGCAGCCCTCTTTTTTGCCATTCCACGTTGTATGTATAGCATGACGTCGCGCCAAAAACGTTTTGCTTGGTTAATAAGTTGATTAACAACTTTAACTTTAAATAAAAAACTCGACTAATTAAATCGTGTCGATCGTACGATGCTTGACCTTCTAGCAGCTCTTGAGAAATCTCGATCCATTTAGGGTTAGTAGTTATTGTTATGAAAAGATCTGGCCTACCATACTTGCGAACATAACAGAATGAGTCTTGAACGCGTTCATTCATATTTCGGGGACTCCCGATAAAGCTGGAAGGCAATATAACTAAACGTCCTAAATTTTCTATGTGTGTATCTCCCTGTACTGCATCATGAAGATCCACATAATTTTCGGCACGCAACTGTCTCTGATGAGTACGAATGAATACTAAACGCTCTGTTTCAACTTTTGCGTACATATCAACAATAAACTGGTTAAATAAGCCACGAAATCGTTGTAAATATACAAAACGACGTTGTCTTATTTGCATGAGATAACAATAAAATTGCAGAGCCGAAACTTTTCTGTCTAACCGAGGTGCTCCTGTAGCGGGGTCAACTTGATAAACCGTAAAGTTGTAACCATCTTCACCGCGACAGTAAATAAGTGGGTATTGTAAGGAGTCGTAAGAACGATGAGTCTCACTAATTCGTTGCAGGCGGTCATCACGCGTGCGTACTATAATGTCGCGCTTGTCGCATTGCTGATCCACCAGGACAACTGCCACTTCATTGGTGGATGGAGAATTATAACGGCCGGAATGTTGCACTAAAGGTCGCTTATCCGCGCTAATAACAAACTTATAATTATTGTATTCATCTTGAGGGATCGACTCTAGTACAGCTTTGAAATTGGATACATAAGGGTTGACCTGATGAAGCATGCCCTGAAGCTCTGAGATAACATTAGCGTTTAAATTTGGGAAATTCTGCCTCCTTATATTGGCTTGTTCATGGTAATCAGAAACGAAATATATTTGTAAAAACTTTGGTTCTGTCTCAGGCAAAAAGCGAACCAATTAAGTGGTAGACTTGCCCCTGCACTTTAAAAGTAGGCATAAATGTTCCATGTACCACTTGCTTGGCCCCGAAAGAAGTCATCTGGAATGCCCCATTGTATGAACGGATATTGTCTAAAAACTGCTTGGAATGTGGATGGTCCCCATTAAGTAGCGATTTAAGAGGTTCTGGGGGCTCTTGAAATATTTCCAATTGTACCTTGCCAGCTGAACAGCAAAACCCGTTTGATTCTTTAGACCACTTAAGTGATTGACAATGACTACAAGTGCGAATCATTCTTCCGATCTCGGCAAATTCACTATAGTCAATATTAAAAGTGTAGGTAAAACCACTATTTTCTTTATCAACCCAAGGGAGATCAGTGTAGTTCTCTCTGTCCATAGATGGCGGAGTAAAGGTGGGTGAACGATTTATAAAAGTACGAATACGATCAGCTTGTAACCGAATTGCACGTTCACTCTCTGTCTCGTTACTCCTAATTGCTTGCACTCTTTCCCTTTGTAAAGACAAAAGTTCGTTACGGTGTTGAAGCGAATTTTCATAATATCCCCTTGCCAATTCTAAGCGTAAGTCATGCTCCTGCTGGGTTTCATGTGTCCTACTTACCGAACGGCTCTCCCTATCTGCTGCTAACCTCGCTTCATATTGAGTAAATGATTCCGAAGCACGTGATCTTGCATGACGTTCCCGGTCTGCAGTCAAGCGTTCCGAATATTGAGTTAGCGTTTCTGAAGCGCGAGACTCAGCATGACTTTCACGGTCTGCAGTCAACCTTTCTGAATGCTCCGTAAATGTTTCCGAAGCGCGAGACTCGACATGACGCTCACGATCTGCAGTCAAGCGTTCCGAATATTGAGTAAACGTTTCTGAAGCGCGAGACTCAGCATGACGCTCACGGTCTGCAGTCAAGCGTTCCGAATATTGAGTAAATGTTTCTGAAGCGCGTGACTCAGCATGACGTTCACGGTCTGCAGTCAACCGTTCTGAACACTCCGTAAATGTTTCCGAAGCGTGAAACTCAGCATGACGCTCACGGTCTGCTGTCAAGCGGTCTGAATATTGCGTAAACGTTTCTGAAGCGCGACTTTCAGCATGACGTTCACGGTCTGCAGTCAACCTTTCTGAATGCTCCGTAAACGTCTCTAAAGCTCGAGACTCGATATGACGTTCACGGTCTACTTTTAAACGCTGAGAGTAATTTGTTAATATTTCCGAAGCGCGAGACAACGCGTGACGTTCGCGATCTGTAGCTAAGCGCGTTTCATTATTAAAACTGGACTCTGATGCCCGAGATTCCGCAGTTTGTTCTCTATTGTAAGCTAAACGGTGCTCACGGTCCTCATTTGTCTCTTGCGATCGAACTTGTCTCATCCTTTTAGCCCTTCTAGTGTATTGAGAAAGACTACTTTTCTTTTTTTGCGGCATTATTTAAAATTTATTCAACAACCAAAACACAAAATAAAATCCTTATCAGAAAATGTAATCACGTATGTAACAATTTAGTGATCACTTAACCTTAGACTACAATAATAATATTATTTAATTCAATTTAATTTAATTTAAATTTAATATATTATTACAGTCTAAAAAATCCAAACAACTAATTCCGTATCGTAAGAAAAAAATATCAGAAATCCGTAAATCCGTAATATGATGTCATGAAAGGTAAAAGAATAGAAAACTTAGCACACAGTATTATAGTATTATCACAAATATAACAACTTTTACAAATTATCATATTGAGTAGATATAAAATAATGTGTCATTAAGAAAACTCACGAAAAATCTTACCTACGCGAGGTAGATGTTCAGCAATGACATCTAACGGAACGTAACGGAAAATAGTGAAATAAAACAATTATCATTGTACCAATATATATTTCATAAAAAAAAATAGTTATATTCCTATTATAGGATAGAAAAGGGCCTAACTAAAAATTATAATTGTTTATTATGTATTTATACAAATAATATATACAATTTAAATAATATATACAATTTAAATAGTCGCCGTGAAGTGACGTAGTTAGAGAACCATACTGTTTAATGAGGGCTAATAATTTTCTGCTCACCAGATGTCGCTAGTTGACACTGAGATAAAGTTTTTTGTTACACAATGTCATTTAATGGAGAAGTAAGTTTTTAATAAAAGTTTATCAGTTTCTAGAGTATTATACTAATACACAAAACAATGAGTCAGTGGTTTGCTGTTTAATTTTTTGCACATTTTTAACTTTTTAAAATTTTTCTACTTTCATGAATATTATGTATTTTTAATTTTAAAAATATAAAATATAGCAACAGTACAGAAAGAAACATTAACCTTTACATTTTTCGAACAAATTAACTTCCCCGCCCTGATATCTGTCAAATATTATACCTCACTTCACCTTCACAAGTGGCGCCACACTGGTGGCAGAAAAAGGTGTGGATGCCGTCATTGTAACTTACTTTTTCTTAAATGGCGCTATTATGTATTTAAATTAAACTTGATTTTCATAACGATAGACAAAATTTAAAAGCAATACATACATATAAAAAGCTTCTATAAATGTTTATATTTTTTAATAAAACTTTAATATGTATAATAAATAATTTATTAGTGCCTGAAGGGAAAACGTAACACTTTTTGCATTTTAATAATAGATGGCACTGTCTTATAAACATACAATGTAGTCGGTGAAGTTTTAAACTAAGTTTCAACGGTTAACATAGTATATTAAGCTTCAGTTATAAATATACATTACAAATAAAACTTTAATATGTATAATAAATAATTTATTAGTGCCTGAAGGGAAAACGTAACACTTTTTGCATTTTAATAATAGATGGCACTGTCTTATAAACATACAACGTAGTCGGTGAAGTTTTAAACTAAGTTTCAACGGTTAACATAGTATATTAAGCTTCAGCTATAAATATACATTACAAATTAAGAACTTTATGTAATCTACCTTAAGACTAATGACATTTTATGCACTTATTATAAAATTATAAAATTAACTCCAAAGAAAGGTAAAAAAACATAACCTTCTTTTTTGATGCTCCGTAATCGGATAAAAAGTAGCCTATAAGTTGCCCCGGGTTCTTAACTACCCACTTACAAAATTTCGTGTAAATCCGTCTTGTAGTTTATGAGTGAATCCGTAATACACAGACAGACAGACAGACAGACAGACAAAAATTCTAAAAACTACTAATTTGGTTTCAGTACCGCTTGTTTAGTCCCCTGGACTTGTTTTTTTTTCAAAAAATAATAGAATTACAGACACGACTTTTCTACAGATTTATTATATGTATTAGACTACTAGCTTTTCGCCCGCGGTGTTACGTAACCAAATTTCAAGTAACAAAATTCGTTCAATAATTTTTCATCATACAACATATACATATAAGCCATGGTAGCTCAGATGGTTAGCGCTTGCTATAAATTTCACAGTACACGATCAACCCGAGTACGATCCCCACCATCACCAATGAAATTGTCAATTGCAATTTTAAGTAATGATTTACTACGTGCTCGGCCGTGAAGGAAAATATCGTATCGAAATACTATATATTTCGAAGACATATTTTTTTTATTGAATAGGGTGACAAAGGAGCACACAGTCCACAGGATGGTAAGTGGTTGCTGCGGCCCATAGACATCTACATCTATTCTCGATTACAAATCAAAATGCATATGCGTTGTCACCCGTGAGGACTAAGACGGAATGCCTCGTTTCCAGTAAAAAGCTCCGGTTTTCTACACTCACGATTATCACGACACTGCAGCATTAAGCTAGTATTTTATGCTGGTATTCTGTGAGAGTGTGGTCCTTCCCTGGTCGGGCTGAACCATTCTTGCTACAACTATACTACTAATATAACTGCAGCATGGCTCTACCACATAAAACACACATATGAAGTTCGCCAACACGCATTGGGGCAGGGCAGGAACACCTCCTATCCCTAAAACCTTATCAGAGATGAGGTGAGGCCTGTGCCCAGCAGTAAGTCGTATATAGGCTGTAACTTTAACCTTAACATATACATATAAAATGGCTCCATAAAGTGAAAAGTGTGAACAAACTGTACACCCTATTTCACACTAAGGGCTTGAAATTGCACCATTTTTCAAAGTTTAAAAAAACATTCATAATTTTTTCTTCATACAACTTTGAATACCCTCCGCCCTCCCTGTGAGGGTTTGTTTCGAGCCAATCGCCCTACAAAATAAAAAGTTTCATAGAAACTGTGCCACCCTTTTTCACCCTCTTAGGGTTTTAATTTTCCAAAATATTTTCTTTTTGTATGCCTACCTAATATAAAGAACTATTGTTCTAATTTCACGCTTCTTTGTCAAGTAATATGGATTGTACGTCTTAACATAATATTTTTCATACAAATTGCATTTTCGTCTTACATTAACCTTATGGATACAGTTTTTAAACATAAAAAATGGATATCTTATTATTTTAATTTAACAGTATTTGCAACAGTTCTCAAATAAATAACAACTATTAATTAAATAAGATAACTTTTTATATTTATAATAATCATCACATAAAATATGCTGCGCTGGGGGCCGCGGGTTGAATCCCGCACGGAACAAGTATTTGTATGGCCTATAAATAATTGTTCCGGGTCTGGATGTTTTGCCTTGTGCAATTTATGTTTGTAAACTGCCTTCATAATATAGGAGAAAATCCTAGGGTAACGTTTAAAAAAAACTATAAGCAACTTACTTGCTAAAAAATTCATTGTGGCTGCAATTCTTTGACTGAAAGCTTGAGCTGCATACTTCACCTTCATTTTAGGCAATTTATCTTGTTGCACATGATGAATTGTTAATTTGTTTAACATTCTTAAATCATCTTCTTCAACATCAACTTATAAAAACATTTTTAATGTTCTTGTCTTACCATCATGACTTCCCCATCGAAAATGACTCTTATATTTTTACTAATCCATTTCTTAGTCCCTTTAGTAAATGGGGAGGATCATAAATATGGAATAAAGGTATATTATCAATTTCTATTTTACTGCTTTTGTAGACTTTATTATGCCTTGAATATTTTGTATCTTTTAAAAGATAATTAATTGCAGATACATTAGATGTGCCTTGGTCACAAATTGTAGTAACAATAATTAAGCCACATTCTCTTAATCATCTAATTATGTCAATTATTAATGCTTTCAATATATGGCTTTTAGTTGCTCTTTGGCAGAACTGGTAACAAATGGCTGTTTGTACTTGCTCTTTATCTATTTTATCATAAAAACAAGACAATGGTCTGCAATTTTCTCAGTATCTCTCTCAAAACCAATTATCTGATCAATACATAGCCTTTTTCAGGTGTCATTTTATCCACTTTTTTCTTTAAATTATTTAGAATATTTTCATTCAATCCTGGTTCAATCATATATATATATATATATATATATATATATATATATATATATATATATATATATATATATATATATATTATTTGTATTAATATTGATAATGCAAAAATTTTTGAGAAACCAAAAGGTCGGTTGGTTGGTTTCTGCAGAGATTTCAATTGAAGTTTCATAAAATTCGATATTGTTTTTGGCAGCTTATATTTATTAAGCTTTCATTTCTGCTTACCCATCTCTGCTACACGGTAGGACTTTTTAACATCTTTGCATTTATTTTGTTATTTCAACAACCTCGTTTTTAATTGTTGCTAAGTCTTAAAATTTTTAATCTTCTCCATGTAAAAGACTTTCTTCTTACTTCCAGCTGAAAACAAACAGTATAAAAAATATATTTCTTTGTTAAAAGATATACAAAAACTCATTCAATTGCCTTTTATAAGATATACTGACTATTGGCAGTGGCTTAACTCAGACAGTGGTAGGTTTTTTATAGATAAAGGGTGGCAAGCAAGCACACAGTCCACCTGATGGGAAGAAGATGCTGTGGCACATAAACATATACATTTATCTGCAATTTAGAATCAAAATGCAGATGCGTTGTCACCCCCGAGGACTAAGATGAAATGCCTTGTTTACAGTAAAAAAGAGTCTCCAGTTCTCAGTCACTATACGAAACACAGCAGCATAAAGCTGCTATTTCACGCTTTTATTGTAAGAGCGTGGTCATACACTGGTTGAGCTGACAAATTCGTGCTACAACCATCAATATAGCTGCAGCGTGGCTCTACCATGTTCAGTATTTCTAAACAAAAGCCAAACTACAAAAATCAAACTACATTTCTTGCTTTAAAAAATGATGAGACTCTCAGGCACAAACATACTCCCTATTCCATTCAAAAATCCTTCCTAGCGGGAGTTTATGCTAAAAAGGTTATTTGCATGCAAATTCCATGTTTCTCACTTTAATAGTTAATAATCTGCTATAATAAATTTGAGATTGCGAGTCTTGTCAGGGTGTAGGGGTTTTCAATTTTTCAGTTAATCCAGCTATTTCACTTTATTTATACATAAGTATGGGATAATAGTATTATTTAACCTAATGGAATGCGACAGATTTTTTATTTTTCCTTAGTCTTTTCTGTATAATTAAGTCAATGCAAATTTGTATACATCTATTAAAAATGGCAGACTGTAAAATATAATTCAAACATGGTTACAAAAATTGTCTTATGATGATACAGAAAAGTTGCTGCTTTTTTAAAGTTAATTAATGATAATATATTTTACCGAAATAACCCTTACCAGTTTCTATTAGCACATATACTTGAGATACAGGCTTATCCTAGTTCAGGTGCCTGTTATAGTAGACTGTTTTAAATTAGGAAATTATTTTAATTAATTGTTCAGTTTATTGAAATAAAAACTATTAAATTAAATTTAAGCATGGACCTACTAATAAATGAATAGAACAAAATTCACAAAAATGTGTCCCAGTTAACCGATATTAAGTGTAGGCACAAATATAGAAATATAAAATACCATAACATCCTAGTGCAAACCATATTATCGTTATAAAACTACTTAATTTTACTTGTGACAATTTATCAGCCTATTTCGACTAGAGGTTGCACTATTTTCACCTTATGAAGATTCTAGTGAAAATTATCGGTATGGTTATTTTACAATATGAATTTAAATTTAATACTATGTACACATCTGTGCATAATATTACTTTTTAATGATTAAATGTTAGTAGTTCTTATGGAAAATAAATATAAATAGTTATTGTATGTTTTCACAATACAGTATGACATTGTGGATATGTATTAAGTTGCTCGACAAAACTTATTTTTGCATTTTGATACTTTTTTGGCTGGGACACTAGTTCAGACCCCAGTTTCATTTAGTAATAGGTCACTGTATATAAGCATCAAAAACAGAAAAAGAACTAGACACTGAGATGGAACATGCTTCAAAGAACACAATATATATTATAATCTAATTTATTTTATGCTATTATAAGATAATATTTGACAATACAGCCAATTTATATTCTGGGGCGTCTAAACGGGCTATATTTTACAATTTGTGGCTGCAATTATTGGCAAACATTGCCCAGCCATCAAAAAAACATTTTAGTGCATTTTATGGCTGAGCAATCAATTGCAGGCAACATGTTGCAATATGGCTACAATAGTATGGCCTTTGATTCAGAACCCTTTAATGAGCCACGCAATCCAGCAACAATGGCCGACGAAATGACGCTCATCACAGCCGCTTACATTGTTTTGGCAGAAAAACGAAAAAAAAGGACACGAATGTGGATTCGACCTTAACTAAGTAGGCGTGACACTTTGGATTCCATAGACAAGGAATTAATACTGGATAAATACTTATTTAAACATTTTACAAGAATGTCTAAGAGCGACTTCGAATTTCTTGTGAACAGAATTGGACCAAACATAAAAAGGCAAGATACAAACATGAGGAATGCAATACCTGTGACTACAAGATTAGCAATAACTCTACGGTATTTAGTGACTGGAGATTCTTTCAAGAGTTTAATGTACCTTTTCAGAGTGTCCGCTTATTCAATTTCAACTATTGTCCCAGAGGTTTGTGAAGTCTTAATAGAAGGCTTAAAGGAATACATAAAGGCAAGTAAATATTTAAGTATTTATTAAGTGCACATTTATTTTTGTTCGACGTAGAATCAATGAATTTGCGAATCACTATTGACAGTTAGGTCATAAGTTCTTCATAAGCAATATTTCCATTTAATTGGGTGTGGTGTAGATCAGCATACTGTTGTGGTGGAGACTGATAAGGGGCGGTATATTCTTAAGTCATAGGCTGCCGAGTATTTTGTCGTGATATGTATAGGGACATCTCGGAATATTGGGATTGAGAAGTGCTAGCTCTTTCTCCGCTATCGCCAGCAGGACTCTGTGTAAACGAAGCTGGATTTCCCCATGTCACAGTCAAATAAAATTTTCATTATGTTGAATTCTGCCTGAGCACGGGTATAGCCATCATATTTACTTAACTTGTTTGCTATATGCTCTGCAAAACCAGCAAATTCATTTCTTCTTTTTTCACCTGCTTCAAGTATAATGTTTTGAGCCTTTTCCAAAATGGGATCTGCAGTCTTGGACTTCTTAGAAGCACGTGGTTTTGGAGAGGGAACAGAGGAAAGCAGAGAGTCTGTTGTTTCTGAAAGTACTTCTTGGTCAGCAATGCTACTAGTCTCTTGGGCTTCAGTCCCCTGAACACAAAAGAAATATTCAATATAATTAAAAAGGAACCTTTATTTTACAGATGCCATCACAAGTGATTGGATGGAAACGAGTCGCAAAGGATTTTGAAGACCGTAGGAATTTTCCTCACTGTTTGGGTGCAATGGATGGCAAGCACATTAGAATTATTTGTCCACCCAACAACTCAATATTTTAATTATAAGCAGTTTTTTAGCATAGTGCTATTCATGGTAACAGACGCAAGGTACAATTTTTTGTATGTACATGCTGGAGTTTAGGGAAGAATATCCGATGGGGGAGTTTTTAGGCATACAGCTTTTGGGCAAGCACTCCTGAACCAAAATCTTGACATACCACATTGTGAACTCCTTAAGGGTCGAGAAGTATCTACACCATATATTTTATTGGCAGATGATGCATTTCCCTTAACCGAAAATATTTGCAAGCCCTATCTGTAGATTTGAACATAGGATCTCCTAAGCGAGTATGTAACTACAGAATATCTAGAGCACGCCGAATTGTGGAAAACTCATTTGGAATTTTGGCATCCATTTTTCGTATACTACATACTACTATCAAGGTTGAGATGAAAGATGTACAATATATAGTTATGGCTTGTGCATTTTTACATAACTTTTTGCGACGAAATACAAGAGCACAAGCTTTATATTCACCACCTGGGACCTTTGACAAGATATTGACCTTGGAACGGTGATCCCAGGATCATGGCAAGCTGATGGAGAGCGTTTACAGATTTAAGAGTATTGGGAAGGAACTCGACAATGAGAGCAAAAGCGATTAGAGATGAATTTATGCATTATTTTATGACAGAGCGGGGACGAGTAGCATGGCAGGACAAATATTTAGGAAATCCATAATCTATTAATAAATATAGGTACATACATTTTCTGTTGCATTTTCACTATCCAGTCCTGTATTTGGAGTATCTTGACTAAGAATAAACGACATCGCATCGTAAGCAAACCATTTTGTTTGTTTGCCGCCAGCACTACATCTTTTATTCTTTTTTATTTCCTCATTCTTCACATAAGTTCTCAGGCTTCGGAATTTCTTGTAAGCGTCATCGGGTTTTCTTTAGTAATCTGCTGCACGAATATATGGTCGCCGAGTGGGTGGGGGAGGGGGGGAGAGGGGGCGGAACCTCCCCTGAAAGGAAAAAGTGCCGGAAACCCCCCCCTTTTTTTTTTTATGAATTTTTAAAGTTTTGTTACATTTAAGGAAAATTCGCTTTCGTTTAATAAAAAAAGGGCGTCCGGCGACGAAAAACTCATGGGAATGTGGAAGTATTTAGGGTGGGAAAAACGGTGGGAATTAACACTATTTTGACTCTGCTTCTGCTCCAGCGCTGCGGGAAGTGCAGCCCTTTCGCCCTTGCGTAACTAAGCACAGGCACCTAGCTCACCTGCGCAGCTTCGGCTGTTTGGTCGCCTTCGGCGACCAGCCTCAGCCGCTACGGCTCGTACGCTGCCTACGCTTAGTTACAGCGGGCGAGGGCTGCATTCCCTCCGCGCTTCCGGATTTTCATATACACTCTAGGGGTAAGAGCGGAAAGACCACGTGGAAGTTGGGGTTGACAGATTCGGTTTTGTGATTTATACCTTCTGGTACTAGAGTTTGATCAAAAGAAATGACCAAATATAATATTATAAAAACATTTATTTATATACATGGTTAATTACTTTAATTAGTTCCATAAAAGGATCCTTTTTTTTTCTTTGCACTGACCTTCTCCACAAATATTCTATAATAATGTCTGAAAAGTTTTCCAGGTGGTTATAATTGTATTTACTGAAAAATCTTTTAACCACCCGCCATTGCGATTCGATTCTTTGAGTATGAGTGCCATCAGGGGCAACAAATGGGTTCTCAGGATCTGAATGGTTCACCTTCTTGTGAATGTACCCATGTTGGGGTCAGCAGCCTCGAGGGTAGCCAGTCGACCAAGCTGGTTAATAAATGTTGGTTCTCCGCACGTCATCACTTGAGTGCGCTTCTTCTTAATGTATCCATGTTGCCCCAAACAATCATAAGCCCTCCAGAAGTCGGTATGGATTGTGGTGCCCTCAACCACATGTTTTTTAATTAGGGGCACTAGTATGTCCGCTAACCTGATGTTTTCAGGGCACACCTCTAGTCGTAAATCCTCACTTCCATCCTCAATGAGGCCGAGGATCCAGTGGCCCTCAATCTGCCTTCCTAAAATCAACAATAAACAATTTAGAGTTAGTAAATATTCAAGATATTTATTTATTTATTTACTCTATATTGTACAGTGTACACCAAAACCCAATAGTACAAAATTACAAAAAAAAAAAAACAAATACAAAAGTACAAAATTTTATAGCAGAATATGTACAATAGGCTGTCTTATCACTCTGAAACTGATTTCTTCCAGATATTTTGGCTTTAAAAGGTATTCAAATATATTTAATAAAAGGTATTAAAAGATAATTTGGGTTCAAAAGTAAACTTTAAAATAAATAATGTGTAATAATTTAAGACTAACATAGGTTAAGCTAATTTACTAACATATTATGGACTATATGTGGGTCTGAAATAAATTTAATTATCATTATATTATTATTATAAATATATTGTTTCAGTCTGTAATATAAGAAAATCAAATTACCTTTATTATATTTCCGTTTTCCAAATTTTGACTCGTCTATTTGGACTACTTTTCCTGGGCCACCAATCTTGCCGATGGCCTCTTGTTGCTCTATTTGGTAAATGACGACTGTCTCCCGGCAGTAATTTTTTTTAAAACAGAGTACAGACCATGCTCTATTGCTATCTCTTTGTAATAATTATATTCTTATTTCGTATTCGTATCATTTTTAAATGGATATAACCTCAAAACTATAATTGTCGATATCTCGAAAACTAAAGATTTCCGGCATAAAAAACAGCTAGATGATAATTAATAGTGTCATTGCCTGTCAACTAAAGCTAAAATGATCAAATAATTATGTTGTTATTTCGTTTCGTATCATTTTTAAATGGACATAACCTCAAAACTAAAATTATCGATATCTCGAAAACTAAGGATTTCCGGCATAAAAAGCAGCTAGATGGTAATCAATAGCATCATTACCTATCAACTAAAGCTAAAATGATCACTTAAATCGTGCAGCAGATTACTAAAGCCGACCCGCGTCATCACTTGATATATCAAACTTAGTAGCAACAATAGACCATGCATCTTTTTTTGCATTTCTGTCTTTATACATTCCTGTTTCCACATTCCATATTTCAGGATGTAATTGCACTTAATTAATAAAGTCAAGAGTCTTCTCATTAGACCAAGTATTAGTCATTTTAATTTATTTTCTAAACAACACAAGAACAAGAATGACAGCTGCTGACAGCACAGAATATCGCCACACCACAGATTTATACACGATGGACGTCGCAGCACGCAAAGTACTTCACGTCGCAGGGAGAAAGGGACGCGCATATACAGTAAAACAGAATAACAATATAGATGGCCCAGATATATTGCAGTATTTTCGATTGCGAAGCGATCGTTCGGCCACACGCCGGCTACACATAAAAACATTTTGACATAAGCTTGCTACATATTTATTTATCTTGTTGACATCCAAAAAATATGTGGCTACAATGCCGGGCCATCCTTAACATATCGCATAGTGTGGCTGGTATTGCCAGCAATGTTGCCGGCCACAGTATTGCAGCCACAAATTGTCGTAAAATATAGCTTGTTTAGACGCTCCCTTAAACAGACATACTAACTAAATAATACATATTACTTGGTACGATTTTTACTTACCTCTTTGTTGTTGAGGTTTAGACTGTTTTCTAATTTGATATGCATCCTTTGATGTAGGGGCCTTTGGTAAAGTTTCTGAAAAAATATAGTGTATCATTATGCTTAGGTAAAAGATGCCAAAATTATTAATCGACAAATGCTTTTATTAATAAAAAAAATTATTATTTTATTTAACAAGTACACTTACAATACACATATATGCCATGATCATGAAAACATACACATTTCTATACTCTCTGATATGTATATCAATAACAAGTGTACATAACATTCATTTTTTTACATAGTAGAGCCATGCTGCAGCTATATTATGGTTGTAGCATGAATGGGTCGGCTTGACCAGGGAAGGACCACGCTTTCACAGAAAACCAGCGTAAAATAGCAGCTTAATGCTGCTGTGTTTTGTATGGTGAGTGTAGAGACCAGGAGACCCGTTTTACTGGGGTCGAGGCATTCCATCTTAGTCCTCAGGGGTGACAACACATCTGCATTTTGATTCTTAATTGAATGTAGATGTCTATGTGGGCCACAGCATCCACGTACCACCAGGTGGACTGTGTGCTCGTTTGTCACCCTTATCCTATAAAAAAAAAGATTGAGGCATGCAATTTTGAAAATCAGAATAGTGCCACTTAGTAGCAATTACATTAAAGTATGTGCCCATGAGCATTAGAAGGTAACACATCGCCATATTGAGTGGGAAATATGTGGCTGGGGAAAAGAGGGTATAATCAAGAACACTGCACATAACCAGGATCAGGCACTCTCAGTGTGACAGGCATGCGCGTAAGTGTACTCTACTAATAACAAGCTTTAAATGAAAAAAATTACCTTCAGTAGCATGTGAAATTTCAGTGTGAATATTCATCATCGTAGATCCAGTTGAAACCATTTCTAAAAACCAAATAATATTGTATAAATATATGTATAATAAAGTTTTATGGGAGCTTACATATTTAGGTAAAAATTATAATTATTCTATGACAATTCAGGCAAGTTTTAAAATTCATTTTCTTAGAATTTGTGGAAGCTCAGTGGATTAGCACTCGCTGCAAATTTCACAGTACTTGAGCAACCTGGGTTCAATCTCCACCGGCACCAATGAATTTGTTAAATGCAAATTTAAGTGGTAATTTACCACATGCTCTGCGTTGAAGGAAAACATTGTGAAAAAACTGGCATGTCTGAGAAATGATAAACAATATTTCCAAGACATTTGAAGTCCGCCAACATGCATTGGGGCTGCGCGGAGGACACTTTCTTGCCCTAAAACCTTCTCAGAAGTGAGAGGAGGCCTGTGCCCAGCAGTGGGACCTATATAGGCTGTTACTTTACTTTTTTAGAAGTATTCTTTATATTAAATTTTCAAAATTTATTGCCAAATTGCTTTTCTGTCTTAAAAAAATCTACAGTCTAACAAAATTTCATCTAATAAGGGGCTAACATTTCCAATATGGACCATCGATTTCAATGCTTATATATTTTTTTTTGTAGATAGTACTTACCAAAAGAAAGCGTTTTGCAAAGTTTTAGGTTGCGGAAAATTACGGATCATGAGATATTTTTTAACTTTTCATACAAATTGGCAAATTACACACAGTTACAAAATAAATTTGACAAATAATTGATCGGAGTAATAGGGTATGTTCCGAAATACAACGCAGTGTACTGTCCAATGCAAATGACGTCATGAATCGACGCTATACTGGTGATTCGTTCCAAAACATTGGACAGTATATGACGTCATACTTTTGCGCCATTTGGAAAAGTGTTGGCGATTATTTTGTCATTTTGTGCTCCAAAAATCATTATATCCTCCTAATAGATATACCATCAATTATTCTATAATTTTTTGTATTTGAATAAATAGAAACAAATTATGGCATGCTTCATTCGGCAAACACACAATTAAAAATTGTTTTATTATAGCCGGATATCCGACACAATATGGCGGCGGCACGCCAATACAATATAGTGTCAGTTGATGACGTCATTAGCATTTAACAGTGTACTGTGTTGAATAAAACTAAATTTACGGATTTTATCGCGTTTATTTCCCTACTTTTACTTATTTTTAATTCCCGACGTTTCGGGTGCTTTACAGCAACCATGGTCACGGGGGGGGACTGAGATGTTTGACGTCCCAATGTCATAGTTA